GATCTTGGACTTTCCAGACTCCAGAACTGTGAAAAAATATGTATGCTCTTTACGCCACTCAGTCTATGTATTTTTGTTATAGCGGTCTGAATTGATTAAGGCAATAGGTAAATATAAAAATTATTATCAATTTTTGTATTTGTATTAAATTTTGTATTTTGTATTTTTGTAATTTTTTTATTCTCCTATCTGATTTAAAAGGCATTGAATAAAGCTATAATTATAAAACTGTGTTTTTCAGCTTATATAATGAATAAAGATACAATTTGGGATTAAATAATAGCACAATGCAGGAGTACACAGAAGAAAGCTCTTTTATAGCAAATTTTTGTATAATATTGACTTTAGTTGCTACTAATGTGAACTAGATTGTTTTAAGTTAATTGTAATTTCTACTACAACCTTTAGAAAAAAATAGATATATTTGCATGTGTGTATAAACAATAAATGTAATAAATAGTATACTTCAAAATATGTATATGTAACTCAAGAAAAAACAGTAATGGAGGAATAGAGGAACAAAGAAGCAAAAGATAAGTTAAAAATAAATAATGTACAAATTATATCTTACCAGTAATTACATTAAAAATCAATTAAATAATTAAGTAAAACTCCAATGAAAAGGAAGACTTTGGAAGAATGGATTTTATAAAAATGATCCAATGATATTTCGTCCACAAGATTCAAAGACACAATAGGTTGACGGTAAAAAGACAAAAATGAGATAAACTATACAAACAGTAACTGGGAGCTGTTATCGATATTTTAAAAAATAGACTGTAAAACAAAATCTGATATAAAAGCAAAATATATATATATATATTTTATAATGAAAAAAGGGTCAATTATTCAGGAAGATATAACAAGTATAAATACATTTGAACCCCAGGAAAACGTCTCAAAGTACACACAGCAAAAACTAAGAAAACTGAAGGACTAATTGACAATTCAGTGATAAACACTGAAGATTTCAATGTTGCACTTCCAACAATGAATAGAACAATTAGGCAGGAGATCATGAAGAAAACAGAAGACTTAAACAGCACTAGGTACCATGTATAACCATAATCTATAGAATATGCAACCACAGCAGAATATATTAAGACATTCTTGTCAGGTACTCATGAGTGCCTTGATAAACCATATGCTAGGCTATAAAACATACCTCGATAAATTTAAAAGGTATTAAATAGTTCATCATCTCTTCTGCAAACACAACACAATTAAAAACAAAAATCAATAACAGAAGAATAATTAGAAAACTTAAACATGTATGAAAATTAAAGAACACACTTCTAAATAACCAATAGGTAAAACACACACACACGAAAAATTACAACATAATTTACATGAGTGAAAGTAAAAACACAACACAACAAACCTTAGCCAGTCATAGTGGCCCATGCCTATAATTTCAGTTACTCAGAGGCTGAAACAGAAGGAACAATTGAGCCCAGGAGTTCGAGGTCAGGCTGAGCAACATAGTGAGGCCCTCCCTCTAATAAAATGAACAAATGTTTGGGGATGCAGCTAAAGCATTCTGTAAAGGGAAATTTATATCTGTAAATGCCAGTATAAAACAAGAAGAATTTCAAATCACTAACCTAACCTTCAATCTAAAGAAACTAGAAAAAGTAAAAATGCAAGCTAAACACAAAGCAATGAGAAAGAAGGAAATAATAGCATTAAGAGTGGAAATTAATGAATAGACAGTAGAAAAAAAAAAAAAGAAAACCAATAAAACCAAAAGTTTAACAAAATTGCCACACTTTTAGCTAGATGAAACAAGATGAAATGAGAGAAAATGCAAATTACTAAATCAGGAATGAAAAAAGCAGCATTGTTACTGACTTTAATGAAATTTAAAAAAAAATAAGAGGGAATACTCTGAACTACTGTGCTCTTGCAAATTAGATAACCTAGATTAAAAGGATAAATTTTTAGACAAACACAAACTACCAAAACTGACTCAAGAATAAATAAAAAATCTGGAAAGGTCTATAACAAGTAAAGAGATTGAAACAGGAATTAGGAAAACTACCCACAGTGAAAAGTTTGGACCCTACTTCACTTCACTTGCTTCACTGATACACTCTATCAAACATTTAATTAATACCAGTTTTTAACAAACTCTTGCAAAAAGTAGAAAAGGAAGGAAAACTTTGAACTTATTCTATATATTACCTTGATACCAAAACCAGACAACTATCACAAGATTAAAAAAAACTATACATTAACATCTCTAATTAATACACACATAATAATCCTCAACAAAATACTAACAAACCAAATGCAGACCCATATTTAATGACTTACACTCCATTGCCTAGTGGTTACTACACTAGGAATGCAAGGTTGATACAACATCCAAAAATCAATCAGTATAACATACCATATCAATAAAGGACAAAAACTACATGAGCATTTTCATAGAAGTAGAAAAGTATTTGACAAATCTATCATCCTTACATGATAAAAGCTTTCAAGAAATAAGAATAGAAGGGAACTCCCGAACCTGATGAAAAGCATCTACCAAATAGAAGAGAACTTCCTAAACTTGATTATCCACAGCTAATATCACACTTAAGCAGGAAAGACTACATGCTTTCCATCTTAGATCAGAAATAAGACAAGGATGTCTGCTCTTACCTTTGTATTCCACATTGTCCTGTAGATTCTAGCCAGGACAATTAGGCAAGGAAAGGAAGTAAGTATTCAGATTGGAAAGAGGTGACTACTCACAGATGGCATGCTCTTCTTGTATATAGAGAATCCTGAGAACTTCACACAAAAATTAGAACTAATAATTCCAGCAAGATTGCAGAATTTGAAGTCCATATCCAAAAATCAATTGGATGTCTACACATTAGTAATGAAAAATATAAACTGAAATGAAGAAAATAATTTTTTTATAATAGCACAAAAAACAATTAAATACTTATAAATAAATTTAACAAAATTCAATAATTGTACACTGAAGACTATAAAATTTTGTTGAAAAAATTATAGAAAATCTAAATAAATGAAAAGAACTGGAAGACAATACTGTTAAGATGGCAATACTCTCCAATTTGGTACACAGATTCAATGCAATGTCTACCAAAAAAATCAATTACTTTTTTCTAAAAAAATTGACCAGCTGATCCTAAAATATATATGAGAATGTAATGGCTCCAGAATAGCCAAAGTAACATTTAAAAAGAATATCAAAGTTGGAAGATTCATACTCCCTGAGAACCAGATTTATTACAGAACTATAATAATCAATACAGTGTGTACTAACATAAGAACAGACAAAAGAATAGAATTGAGCATCTAGAAATATAGCTTAAATTTATGATCATTTGATTTCAGATTTGAATTCCAAACATATTTATTGGGGAAATAACAGTCTTTTAAGAATTGTGTGAAAATAGTCTTTTCACAATGACCTTTTCAACCCAATTATGTGTTGAAAAGAAGAGTCTTTTCAATGTTCTTCAGGCAAAGAATTTATTTGGACCCTCTACTTCACACAGTAGGCAAAAATGAACCTAAAGTGGATTTAAACCTAAGTGTAAAAGCCAAAATTACAAAACTTTTAGAAGAGAGAACATAGGGGAAACTTTTCACAAAGTTTTGTTAGGCAACGATTGCTTAGACATAACACCAAAAACATTTAGAAAACTGAACTTTACAAAAATTTTAACATTAGTGTATTAAAGGACACATAAAGAAATGAAAAAACAATACACACAGTAGAAGAATATGCTTACAAATTATATATTTGATACATTACTTTTACTCAGAATATATTAAGATTTATTACAACTCAACAATGAAAGAACAAGTTAAAAAATAGGCAAAAGGCTGGAGTACATATTTCTCCCGAGAAGAAAGACAAAAGACTGATGAGTACATAAAACAATGCTCAACATCATTATTCATTAGGTAAATGTAAATCAAAACCTCAGTGAGATACTACCTCACATCTAATAGAATAATAAAACTTAAAAAAATAAGACAACATCGGCCAAGCGCGGTGGCTCATGCCTGTAATTCCAGCACTTTGGTAGGCCAAGGCGGGTGGATCACCTGAGGTTAGGAGCTTGAGACCAGTCTTGCCAACATGGTAAAAACCCCTGTCTCTACTAAAACTCCAAAAATTAGCCAGGCATGGTGGTTGACCTGTAGTTCCAGCTACTTTGGAGGCTGAGGCAAGTGAATCACATGAAGCCGGGAGGTGGAGGCTGCAGTGAGCCAAGATTGTGCCACTGCACTCCACCCAGTCTGGGCAACAAGAGTGACACTCCATCTCCAAAAAAAAAAGGAAACAATGAAAATATCCAGTGTAGATGAAAACATGAAAAAAATGGAAATTCTCATAAATTTCTAGCTTTAAAATGAAGCAGTCATTTTGCAAAGCTGTTTGGCTGGTCCTCAAAATATTACACATAAAGTTACCATACGCTGCAGCAATTTGACTCCTCAGTATGTACCCAAGTGGAATACAAATATCTGTCTTTATAATCACTGACACATCAATGTTCATGTTTGCATTGTTGATAATAGTCAAAAAGTGGAAACAATCTAAATGTCCATCAACTGATGAACCAATAAACATAGATGTGATATATCCATATCATATTTCATTATTGTTATAGCTCATAAAAAGGAATTAAATATTGATACATGCTACAAAATGAACTAACTTCAGAATAATATAATAAAGGAAAAAAGAAAGCCACAAAATACTACATATTTAATCATTCCATTTATATAAAGTCTCCAGAACAGGCAAATCCAAAGAGACAGAAGGTAGATTACTGGTTACCAGAAAACCGGGAGTAGGGAGGAATGGGAGTGATTGCTCTTGGGCGTGGGGTTCCTTTTGGGGATGATGAAAATATTATACAATTGGATAGTGATGATGGTTGCACAACTCCATAAATATTCTGAAAACCTCTGAATTGTACACTTTATATGGTCAATTTCATGCTATGTGAATTATATATCAACAAGCTTTTCATTACAAAAAGAAAAATGGAAATAGCTTTAAAGGAGATAATAATTTGTATTTCATCCAAAGCACAAGTCTTAACTTCTTTGTCCAAAATTCTGGCAGAAAATAACAAATAATAAAAAATAAGTATAATCTTCACAGGAATTTTTAAAGGTTTATTCTACCTCACTTTATTGTTCTGTTACAATGCCTTCATCAAAATGCAGGAATTCATAAAGCTTGCCTGATAGAGGGCAGTTGAATAAAATTCACAGTTCAAAGTATGACAGGAGCACAAACTGTTAAAATAACATTCAGATTTATCAGATTATCTCTTTAATTTAAGTGTTATAGAAATAAGTTTATTTTCACACAAAACAAAATTTATTCTCATTATCATTCTATTGCAAAAAGGAAAAGGAATAAACAATTTGACAAGCTGAAAAATCAGCAAAGCAACTGAAATTACTTTAAGGATAACATGTTCTAAATGTCTATTGTAATAAACAAAACAAAAAAATTGAATATGACTGTATTAGAGTGTCTCTTCCCTTTCATGGTAAATTATATGGAATATGTTTTCAGATTTCAATTACATTTTTAAAGCTTTAAGGAAAGAGCTCTTCTTTGTTGTTCTGAAATACCATTAAAATAGATTACTTATGTTAATTGATGCATATTAAACAGTGACAACCGTTTTTTGTTTTTTGTTTTTTTGTTTTTTTCCTACTAAAGTGTATATCTTTGTACATTAAAAACAAGGATATATAAACTAGAAGTTAGAGACCAGAGGCCCAACTTGGGACCTGACAGGATGGCTGGGCTGCCCTGCAGGATCATCAAGGAAACCCAGCTTTTGCTGGCAAAACCAGTTCCTAGAATCAAAGCACAACCATATGAGAGCAACACCCACTATTTTCACGTGGTCATTGCCGGCCCCCGGGATTCCCCCTTTGAAGGAAGGACTTTCAAACTTGAACTATTTCTTCCAGAAGAATACCCAATGGCAGCCCCTAAAGTGCGCTTCATGACCAAAATTTGTCATCCTAATGTAGACAAGTTGGGGAGAATATGTTTAGATATTTTGAAAGGTAAGTGTTCCCCAGCTGTGCAGATCCACACAGTTCTGCTATCGATCCAGGCCTTGTTAAATGCTCCCAATCCAGATGATCCACTAGCAAATTATATAGAGGAGCAGTGGAAGACCAACGAAGCCCAAGCCATAGAAACTGCTAGAGCAGGGACTAGGCTATCTGCCATTAATAATATTTAAATTGATCCGATCATCAAGTATGCATCACTTCTCTTGTTCTGCCAAGACTTCTTTCTTTTGGTTTGCATTTAAGGGGCACAGTCTTAGAAACATTACAGAATAAAAGCCCAGACTTCTTCAGTCATTTGGTGATTAAATGCACGTTAGCAAATCTATGTCTTGTCCTGATTCACTGTTGTAAAGTATGAGCAGAGGCCAGAAGTGTCATTTGGACTGTTGGGAAATGTTTAAAAGCAGTGGCCCCTCTCTGCTTTTATTCATTACCCCAATCCTGGTTTAAGTGTAAAGCACTGTGAATTAAGGTAGTTGTCAGGTTAGCTGCAGGGGTATGGGTGTTTTTCATTTTATTTTGTTTTATTTTTTGAGGGGGGAGGTAGTTTTATTTTAATTCGTGAGCTCCTTTCCCACTTTTTTTGGTGATCTAATTGCATTGGTTAAAAACAGCTAACCAGTTCTTTAGAATATGTTCCCTAGCCAGGTCTAACTTTATTTAGATGCTGAAGATGGACAAACTTGATTGTTTGAACCAGAATGGGAAAGTTAAACAAACATCACAGCTCTCAATAATAACACTATGACTTTGCTGTCAAGTATAGATGACCCCCTTCAAAAAAACTTTGTGACCATTTTGTATGGCTTGTCTGGAAACTTCTGTAAATCTTATATTTGAGTAAAATATTTTTTGTTATTCTAAAAACTAAGTGAAAATAAAAATAAACTAAAAACTAAATTCCACCAGAATAATGTAGATCTTAGACTGATTCCTTTTGGTGTTGAATATTTAAGGGAATTACATAAAATCTTGAACATAAAACACTTAATAAAATGAATTTCTATACTCATTTCCATAAAAATAAAATATAAACATCAACTTCATCCAGTTTTTAATGTACAGTCTCTCAAAAATGTATTTCTCAAAAATTTTGGCTTATAATGGGTACATGTTATAAATCAATGTACATGCAGTATATTTTTTCACATTGTACATTATTATTATTAATTTATGATATTACTCAGCAGTAAAGTTCTAGGATAAAAGAAAAACTTCTCGAGTAGTAACTATAAATTATAATAATCTTTATTCATCTGAATATATATCAATTTTTAAAAAAACAACAAAACCAAACATCTTTCTAATTTATCTCAAAGTGTGGTTAATTTGAATTCCATCAAATCACTGGCATTTCAGTAATCACGTGTTTAGTTTCCTGTATTTTTAAGATAAATACACAATTAGTGTTATCGAATTAATTAACATTAATTTTGTGTTTAACTGTTTCCAACTAAACAGTTTAGAAACATCTTTTTGGTAATATCTTTTCACCCTCCCAGCAACCTTTCTGATGCTGGTAACGTGATTGTATTTCTTTTTCTGAACATGGAAGTAGAGGCTGAAGCAAGGTCCTTTTTCCTTGACTCGGCTTTCCTGCTTTCAAGCATCAGGGTCTATGCCTGAGGATCCTCCTTGGGCTCTGGAACTGTCAAGTGCTGCTTTCACACGCAACAAGGACTTATTTAAGAACTGTAACTTCCATATTAGAACTCTTTATTAGAATATCATACAGCAGATAATTCAGGTGGCTCTTTTGGTTAAAGGTGACTGGAAAAGTATCACAGTCACAGCACTTGACAACATCCTTGCTGTTTTAGATAAGCTTTGTGATCTGTTACGTTGGAACTATCTCTAGACCTGTTCATATGAGAGGGCAGCAGAGCTTAAAGGTGATGTGAGGTATTGAAAACTTATTGGTGTACCACAAAATCACTGCAAGTTTGCAAGGTTCCAGATTAATATTCTACCATTATATGTTTTTTGTTGTTGTTGTTGGTTTTGAGATGGAGTCTCGCAGTGTTGCCGGGGCTGGAGTGCAATGGCGCAATCTCGGCTCACTGCAACCTCCGCCTCCCAGGTTCATGCAATTCTCTTGCCTCAGCCTCCCGAGTAGCAGGGATTACAAGCACACACCACCACACCCGGCTAATTTTTTTGTATTTTTAGTGGAGACGGGGTTTTACTATGTTGGCCAGACTAGTTTTGAACTCCTGATCTCATCATCCACCTGCCTTGGCCTCCCAAAGTTCTGGGATTACAGGCGTGAGCCACTGTGTCCCGCCAATATTCTACTTTTATAATAAGTATTTATAGATACTATTTCCCTGGTATTTTTTAAAGTTTCATAATAAAAGACAAAAGAATTTTTGAGACACATTTTGAGTATCATTTCATGTCTTCAGTTAATACTGAATAAAAATTTAAAAACTAGTATTTATCATTTTATGGAGCATTATGGGTATGGCCAATCAAAGCTTAAAAGTCTGGAGTATAGTAAATTTACATTAACCTTAGGAGCAATGCTAATGAGACATATACATATTTTTCTCTCAAAAGATTAAGTTTCTTTGGAAGAATACATATGTGCAGTAAGTTTTATATAGTATAGCTCAATTCATGAGGACATTATTTGGTTTATTTGTAGATGTACAAAATGATAAACCTACCTGCATTATTAATAGGTCCATTAAAAAATTAACACAATTCCTACCTTAATTTTCGACACATGACAGAACTGAGATATTCTAAAAACTAGAAGTAAATGAGATTAAGCCATATTTAATGCCAGAGAGAACTATATTTACATGAACTTTTTTTACATGGCTTAACACAATTTTTCCAACACAGACTGTATGCAGAAATTCAAATAAGAAGATTACATTATTGGCTACATGGAGTTATCAGTACCACCTCAGCAAAACAGGTCTGTCTAAGGGCTTTATGAAGGCATTCATTATCTTGGTAAATGTATCAAAAGTATGCCTGAGCCATGCAACTTCTGAAACCCGATGTGTCAGCAGATCTCAGGAAAAGACTCAAGTTAATCACGAATGAAGGCAAATATATGGAAATGAAACTGCTTCCACCCTCGTAAGCAACCTTTTTCATCCTTGTAGGAAGACTAACATGGGAAGAAAGTAACCAGCGTATCTGTAAGTTAACATAGAAACAAATGCCAGCGAGATCAAAATATGTGATGCCTATGTGGATACTCTCCCTCCCCACTACTTCTATTTTCTGTTTACACTTAAATTTATATAAAGAACAGACACGCCTATCTGCTTACACTCAGGTATGCCATCTTACAGGTTTGGGGACCACCACCACTCTTTCAAAGTGCTTTGCACATTCCTGCTAGGATTCATGGGGTATTCATTTTATAACTGAAATCTCAGAAGCTAATTCTAATTCCTTGAGGGAAACCATAAGAAAAATACACAAGTGATGTTACCTAACTAAATAGCATTCATTTTGTGCTTAACTGTTTACAGACTAAAAAGGTGATATTCTTTCATCCTCCCAGCAACTTCTGAATGCTGGTAGTATTATTATATTCACTTTTTTTGGACAAGAAAACAGTCAAAGTCTGAGTCAAAGTCTCTTTTCACTGACTCTACTCAGTGATATCTGAGTGTAACCAGACAGACATGTCTTTTTCTCTTACAATAAACTTAATTGTAAGAGAAAAAAAATCAAGGTTGGGGGAGGGGAGGAGGACAATTATTCACACAGACGTGTAGTGTTTTGATCTCTCTGGTATTTGTTTCTATTTGTTAACTCAAAAACAGGCTGGTTATTTTTTCCCATGTTGATCTTACTACAAGGATGTCAGTGTTCATGTACTGAGTATGTACTTGAGGAGGCCTATCATAAGTCTCTTCAATTCATCTATGTTTGGCAATTAGTCAGGTAACATCTGAAGGTGACAAGGCACTACTATTTTAATTCCAGTAGAAGGAATACAATTATTATATATCTTATATAAAATGACAAATAAAAATACATCAATGTGGTGATTACAAATGAAATTATTTATTTACATTCCTAAACTTACATTGAGATGGACAGAACTACTTTTTTAGTTTGTATTTATATAGATCTATACAGATTTGTCAGATATAGAAAATATGAAAACGGGAAACTGGTTCAATTAAACATTTTTTCTGAAATTCAGATTTAACTAATGAACTGTTTTTAATCTGTCAACCAGATCTATATAAAAATGTGTCAGAAAACTATTTTTTGATAAATGGCAAAAACTATGTAGTTTTTGATATTATCTTTAGCAATACAGAATGTGAAAATATGACCTTTGGTAATATAAAGTGAGGAAAAAGAACATTACAAAGTCTCTCATAAGCTATAACAACCACCAAAACACATGCTGTCAAATTATCTAATTCATATCTTCTACCAGCAGGTTTCAAGTTAAAATGAATGCAGATGAATTGCTGCTTTTTACAGTTATATAAGGCTTATCTCATTTTTTTTTTGACAGGGTCTGCACATAACAAAGGTCTTAATGGAAGTTGAAATTGTCTTCAATTATACCAGATGTCTAAAGGTGGGTCAGCCTAGCTTTTTAAGCTCTTAAAATGTCTCTGATTTTTGTCAAGGTTACCAAATTAACAGAACTCTAGGACCTTTTGTCCTTACGTAAAAGTTAAATCTTGGAGGTTCACACTACATTCATTTTGATTTTTTTTTTTTTTTTTTAGATTTCCCATATTAGGTTTGGAGATAAACTCACAACTTTATAAGAAGGGCTCTGAAGGTAAGCAAGGCAAGGACTGAAGCTGAGGTCCCTTACAGTCATGAGTGCTAAGGGAATATGGTCTCTGATTTCAGCAATGGAAGGAAAGTTTATTTTCATCTATGATTCATTAATTTATTTAGCAAATATTAATTATTAATTAAGCATCCTGACAGAGCAGAAGCATCGCCATCTTGGACAAGAACCATGATTTTAAAGTTCCCCTTGATCAAAAAACTGCCTAATCCAACCAAAAGGGCATCAGCCTAATGGCTAATGTCAGCATGACTGTGAACCACAAGTGACATCTCCAACCAGAAACACTCCAATCTTAAGATAAACCCTTCCTCAACCAGAGACATGACAGTCCCGAGATAACCTCCCCTCTGACCAGGGAGATGTCAGCCCCGAGATAACCTCCCCCCTGACCACAGACATTCCAACCCCACAATAAACTTCTCCTCCACACAGAAAAATTGCAAGCCTGTGATAAGCTCTCGCCCTAAACTCTTAAATACTTAAATACTCTCAGTCTTTTTGGTGGGGGGATGGAGTCTCACTCTGTCCTCCAGGCTGGAGTACAGTGGCGTGATCTCAGTTCACTGCAAGCTCCGCCTCCCGGGTTCATGCCATTCTCCTGCTTCAGCCTCCCGAGTAGTTGGGACTATAGGTGCCCGCCACCATGCCCGGCTAATTTTTTGTATTTTTATACAGACAGGGTTTCACTGTGTTAGCCAGGATGGTCTCTATCTCCTGACCTCGTGATTCGCCTGCCTCGGCCTCCCAAAGTGCTGGGATTACAGGCGTGAGCCACCGCGCCTGGCCTAATAGTCTTTAAGGGAGCGTGCTCCTGACTGACATTGGCCAGAAGCCCCTCTCAGGTTTATTCTCCAAAATAAACCTGTCTTTGACTGCTGAGTCACTTTGCATGTTTTTCCTCTTTCTTGAACTCTTAACATCCTATTATTGTATATTCTAGGTATTGGGGAAATAGCAGTGACAAAAACAAGCACCTATGTCTGACTTTATGGAACTTATAGTCTTACATGGGGACACAGGCCATACATTTGCAGTTTTAACCTGAATAAAAATTGCTTTGAGAGAAAAAAATTCTCTATGATTCTTTTTGTGCTATGCATCTATCTATCCATCAATTCATCTATCTAGCAAGTCTGTCTTACTCTGTCCATTAGTTGAGCATTCTTATTGTATCTTTTGTGGTCCACTTTGATTAGGGATAGATAGGTAGAAGACAGATTCCTCTACACACTCTTTGATTAAAGTTCTGAATCTTTTGTAAATTACAATGGATCAAATAGTTCAATAAATATTTATCTTCCCAACTCATGCCATTCTGCTACTGACACTCAGTGTTAAGGGAAGAAACGTTATCTTTTTTCAAATGTTAGTAGGTTCATGCTCTTGGAATTCAAAATTCCTAGTGATCAAAGGGTTTTTCAATTTAAATAAATAGAATACCTATTGCATTTAATAAAAGACTCCCCTGACATGGATGCTAGATAAGTTCTGCTGCTAATTTTGTTTTTGTTTATTTGTTTGTTTTAGAGACAGGGTCTTACTCTGTGGCCCAGGCTGAAGTGCAGTGATACAATCACAGCTCACTGTAACCTCAAAATTCTAAGCTCAAGTCATCCTCCCACAGCTTCCAGAGTAACTAGGACTACAAGTGTGCCACCAGAATGGGCTAACTTTTTAAGTTTTTGTTGAGACAGACTCCTACTGTTTTATCCAAGCTAGACTCCAACTTCTGGCCTCAAAGGATCCTCCTTCCTTGGCTACCCACAGAGGGTTGAAATTACAGGCATGAGCCACCATGCCCAGTCCTAATTTTATTAAATATGTCATTGTCTGCTTTATTGAATTTTTTTCTCAGAAAAATCAAATAACATGTTTAAAATAATTAATACCACATCTTAAATTACTTAAAAACTCTCTCAAGTGGGAATAACATAATGGATCATGGGCTTGTAACATTTGGAAATAATTATTGCAAAGTATAGTTTGTTTCTGTGAGCGTCATTATTTCTGACATACATCATTAGTGTGCAATGGTAAAATTTTCTATTTGTAGAATCTCTCAACCACTTTAATTAATTAAAGAAACCAAAGAAATAAATTCTCCTAATGACTGCAATTTATTTTTATACACTTGGTTTTGAAGATGTGAAAGATTTCTATTTCCAGGGATGAGCAAATTCATGAACATGTACATTGGTTCAACCTATAATAATTTTCTGACTATGACCCAGACACTTCCCTTCTTCAAAGAGTTAATTGGTAGTAA